CCAACTGTTCAGGTGTGGTTTGTATTTTGATGGGACAGCAGTGGCCGCTGCGCAACGCGTCTGTTCGGTTTTGGTGTGAATACAAGTGTGCTGCGCTACGCTTGTGGACCGATTCGCGAACACATCGTTTGCCGTGTAAATGAGGCCTCACTCCCAACTCATCAAATACCAACGTTGGGTCAGTGGCCCTACAAGTCAAAATATGAGATGCTAGGTACCCCTCCTGCGTCAGTTTTGGGCGCCCAGGGACAATGTGTCAATTTATGCTCATTACATGCATTGTATTTTTTCAAAATAAATTTCTGTATTCCCAGGAAATGTACAGTCTCTGCATGTTACATGCATACAGTCTATTTCAAAGTAAACTACAGTGAAGGTAAAAAAAAAAAAGTGTTTTTTAGGTTTACTTCATTAAGTCTAGACAACAAAACTACATGCTAAGATAGATGATCACACAGAAAGCATTTTAGCAGCTGGAGGCAGCTTTTTGTAAATGTTTTAAATGAGAAGCTTTTTGTTTGCAGTTTTTGTGTTGCGACATAACTCGCACTTCTGCACTCTAGGCGCCTAGCATTTTTGCCAGAGAACTCTGAACTTCTCGAGTTGAAAAAATTTAAACTCAGAGTGGAAAAGTGCCCCACATCATCTTAGCCTTTTTCCCATTGTCCAATGGGATGATTTGAGAGGCAGGCCATCTGTTGGTATCTGTTTACAGTTGGTAAACAATGAAGGAGAAACTGGTGGTAGCGGTTTTTGGATACCCAGAGCTGTATGGCCCAATGATAAACTGCCCCTGTGTCATCTTAAAATATGCCTGAAAACAGCCATCATCAAGGAGAAGCTCCTGGACCAACTGGTGGTACTCCCCATGACATGTCCCTCTATTTTTGGTTCTCATGTACCCACACAGATCTGTTTCCCTGTGCCCAACAAACTACTTCCTGACAGCCTCTCACCCTCAACCAGAGCTACAGCTACAACTAGCGACTAATAATGAAATAAATAAAATGAATAAATCCAATTCAGTAGATTGATTTCACAGAAAGGTTAGGATAAGGAGGTGATGGCGTGGTTGCCTGGCAACAATAAAAAGCCACAGCAAGCTATTTTTTACCAGTAGCATTCAATTACGATAAATAAATAAATAAATAAATAAATAAATAAATAAATAAATAAATAAATAAATAAAAGTACCCTGCAAAACGCTTTCTGTGTTGCCTAAGGCAACAGAAGCAAGTAGTTAGGTTGAGAAAAAAACGTTTGTGCCTATAAAATAACGTAAACTAATACTAACATGCACTGACAAGTTCAGATGAATTCCATTAAACCCAGTTAAGTGTGTGTAAAATTAAAAAATTGCACATTACAATGATGAATATCTGTGCTCACTGCTGCCGCAGGTGGCCACAAGCTGTATTGCAGAATTACCAATCGAAAAGGTCTATTGGTCTAAACTGTAAAAGCAAGATTAGGTTCTACTTATGTGCCTTTCATATAAGGCTGAGAAACACTACCACACATGATAGATATACAGGCAAATAGTGTGTGTACTTTATGTTTGTACCTTATTAACCACTGTGTCGTTCTCACTTAGGGTGAGCCAGAGAGCAGTCTGACATATGTCACTGTTAACCATGCTAACCAAAGGGCCTCTCCACACAAAAAGGTGAGTGACTTTATCCCTTTGTGTTTATTCAGCTGTTGTTTTCTACTTCTATAATGACGTAATGTTAAGTTTGCTTTGCGGCACAACTACAAAACGTATTTTGTTGAAGAACTATACCTCCAAAAGTTTGTCCATATACTTTCAGCAGTGAAGGGATCTCTTTATCTCCAAGTTCCTGACAACTTTCTTTTTCATATACTTTCCTGATCAGTGAAAACAAACTAGTTACCAGAAGCTACACAGCTCACCACAAGGCCACTGTAGGTTTTTAATTCTGAACATCTGGTTTGTGTCATGCAGGTCAAAACGGAGGAAGTGATGTATTCTACAGTCAAATACTGAAGACAGAAGCAGAGGATGATTCCAGCAGCCTCTACAGCCATGTCAGCAAACCAAAATACATCAGAGGAAGTGAGACTTCTCATGACGTTGTATAATTAGAACCACACATTGAGTTGTTGTTTTAACTTTGTGCAGGATTTGCTTTGCTTAGCATTAAGCCAGACGTTCTATTAAAATACACACTGTTGGACTTGGTGTTCTATTGACTAGTTTAGGATTTTAAAAGGCAAAACCCATTAACCAGAATCGGCAGCATGGTTGTGCCTTAACACAAGTGTCATTATAAGATCTGATTGCCATAGACTGAATCTTTATAAGCAGGCAAATATGATTTTTTTGGACAAAAGAAGAAGGTGCCGAGCATTACAGTCCATAATGTGTTTCAGTTTTCTCCCAACGTTTCTCTTAAGTTTGGATGTTGGGTTTTGCAACTCAAAATAATGACAAGTGAAAGTGAAAAGTCAAACATGTTCTTGCTGAAATAGAAATGTTATTGCACTGTTTATGTGAATATTTTGTAAATTTAGAATTGTTAAGGAATTTTATTATGTAATAATTTTTGTGTCATATTGCATTAGCACTGCTATGATGTCCAGTAAAAAGATTCAGATGGATATTGTCTGTATTGTGTGTGTTTAGCTTGTCTGCAGTTTCTTCATGTGTCTTCTTTAAAATTTCAAGCCTGGACTCATCACAGTGTTTCAACTTATCTGAATCTTGCTCTCACATTAAAACCTATCAACACTGCATCATTTCAAAGAGTAATACCTGCTCTGTGACATGTTTTGGGTGCAAATCATATTTTCTAGAATATTCACAGGTGTTTAGAGTAATTTACAAGATGGCTACATGGTTTTTAGTCTTCTGTATACAAATCAACTCATCAAGAACTGAACTTTATGGTACTACCATATCCTGCTATTAAATGGAGAAACCTCTGTCCCTCCGTCCGTCTGTCATTATCCGTTTTCCTCCTCACTGCTTTGACCTATTTCTCTGATTTTCTGATTTCTCTGAACTTGCACATAGGCTTTCATCTTGGTGCCGCCAGCCACAATGCCGTTTTTGCATTTTTCCCACATTTCTACTGTTTATATTCGCGTTTTTTTCCACTACCCATTCATACTGTGAGCACCATTAGCAGCGCGAGCTGCGCATGCGCGGAGACCACTTGGAAAACACCTGGGACCACAGTTTATGGCTGGCACATGCAATTTCAAGCACCAACACTTGCTGAAGACTAAGGTAATTATTTTACTGAACGAACACGCGTCTGTGTCTGTGTATGCGAGCCAGCCATTACGTATTTCCACTTTACTGACATTAGCCTACAAACATTACAAACTAAACATTGCACTGTTTCTTTCATTCTTTCTCCGTTTTGCGTGTGTATGTGTGTACCTGTGTGCCCGCGCATGGCCCTGCGCATGTGCGTGCCACCGTGCCGTCAGCCAAAACTATGCTCCATGTATTTTGCCATAAAGCATGTTTCTAAATACAGTGTGCATTGTTTGTCTTACATTAATATTTATTACCCAGTGGATTTACAGTGTCCTGATTTTGCATCTCCTCTAATATACTGTTTTTGATTTCTTATTCCTCTATACATAACACATCCCCAGGTATGGACTAGTATCTACATAATAATAAGCAATCCATTGCCTTCACTGTCAAACATTGATTTATTTTTGGCCAAAGTTACGTGAATATCTTTGGCAACGCAACTGAGAAAAGGGACTGTGTTGAATTTCCTTGCTGGTGCGTTTGAGCTCGTCAGACCAAAGCACACTCTTCCACTTTGTGTCAGTCCATCTCAGATGAGCTCAGGCCCAGAGTGGTCGGTGTTGTTTGTGGATGTTGTTTATATATGGCTTTCACTTTGCATGACAGAGTCTTGACTTGCATTTGATGCAGTGACAATCTGTGTTTGCCGACAATGGTTTTCCACAGTTTTCTCGAGCCCATTTAGTAGTATCCTTTATACGATTACATCGGTTTTTAATGCAGTACAGTTTGAGGGGTCAAAGGTCATGGGAATTCAGTGTTTGTTTTTTGGTCTTGCCCCTTGCATGCAGAAATTTCTTTGGATTCTTAAATGTTTTAATAATATTATGGATTGTAGATGACGAAATCCCTAAACTCCTTGCAGTTGTGCGTTGAGGAGTCCTCATTCATTCATTGGACTGTGGGAGAAAGCTGGAGTACCTGGAGAAAACCCACGCTGACATGGGGAGAACATGCAAACTCCACACAGAAGGGCTCCCCCACCTTAGGTTCGAACCAAGAACTGTCTTGCTTTGAGGCAACAAACCTAACTACTGCATCACCGTCCCACCCACGCTAAGAAGTGTATGTTCCTAAACTGTTGGACTATTTGCCCACACAGGTTTCCACAAAGTGGTGAACCTCGCTCCCTCCTTTCTTGTGAATGACTGAGCCTTTCGAGGATGCTCCTTTCATACCCAGTCATGACACTGTCATCTGTTACCAGTTCCAGTTACCAGTCTGTTTATCCCTGGAATGTTCCAAACAGGTGATTTTGAGCATTCACAACTTTCCCAGTCTTTTGTTGCTCATGTCCCAACTTTTCTGGAGCATGTTGCAGACATCAAATTTAGAACAAGAGGTTTTTTTACAGGAAAAAAAAGGTTATCAGTTTGAACATCAAATATCTTGTCTCTGTACTGTAGTCAATTGAATATAGGTAAAAAAGGATTTTGCAAATCGTTGCATTCAGTTTTTATTTATGTTCTATACAGCATCCCAGCTTTTTTGGAATTGGGTTGTAGCTTCAGCATGCTTTATCAGTAATGACAAACTTTATAAACAGGGTGTAGCTGCTGACGCAATGATCGGATACTACAGAATGCCTTTGTAATCAAGCGCAGACATAAAAACTGAGTGAACAATATTTTAACAGATTTTTACAAAGACAGGTTTTGGTGTGCATTATTTATTCATTTTTTGTTAATTATATCATTGATATCGAATATATTCAGTGCTGTTGCACCACATGGAATATAGCAGTGTACATATTAGACTCTACTCTCTTGAATATAACTGAATTGCAGTCATGACAGGCCAAGCAGCATTTCCAAGCCCTGCTGCTCACATACAGGAAGAAGCACGCAGTTTATGGGGTTTAGGGTTGAGAGAGAAACCCACACATGGAGTCAGATCCAGGTCATCCTCTGAAACTCCAGGAGGAGGGGTGAAACGAAAGTGCTGCAAGAGGGTGGTGAAGAAGATGAAGAGCTCCATCCTGGCCAGACTCTCGCCGAGACAAACCCTGCGACCTGAAAGAGAGAACGAAGGAAGAGCTTCAGGTCATCTGCCAGTAAAATAATAATAAACAGGAAGTGATATCTCATCTCACAAACCTGCAGAAAAAGGCAAGAAGGTTTCTCGCTTGACAAACTTCCCATCTTTGTCCAGGAAGTGCGGGGGATAAAAACGGTGTGGGTTCTCCCACTCACTCTCATCATACAGGACAGATGCCAAGAGAGGATACACCGTAGTTGCCTGTAGACAGAGACTTTTAAAAGTTTTCTCTCAACAAGTCAGTTTGGGTCCTTTATACCCAGTGTGTTATTCAGTCTGACCTTTTTAATGAAGTGACCCTGGAAGATGACATCTTGGCTGGTTCTGCGAGCCACTGTGGGGACAATGTTGGCCAGTCTCTGTGTCTCATGGATGACAGCATCGGTGAAGGGCAGGTTCCTCCTGTCTTTGACCCGCACCTGACCACTTCCTATCACCCTGCTCAGCTCCTCCTGGACCTGGTCTGGGAGCAAAGGGCAGTAAGGAGTAAATTATCAGATAAACCTTTGATAATTTCATGATCATCCAAAGTCAGAGTTTACCTCTCTCTACGGGACTTCTGGGACTACTTTTACTGTCATTATACACATATGATTATTGTCACATACATACACTGCCATATATTAACATATACTTTCAACATATTGTACCACAAAAGACACAATTATTATTAGAATATTATTACATAAGTTAATGTTGTTGTAAGCTGCTGTCACTACCATCTGTCCTGCATCTTTCTCTGTCTCTCTCTCTGTCTCTCTTTCTGTCTCATTTTGTCATATGGAATACTGTGAATTTATCATGTTGATCTGTTCTGTACGACATCTATTGCACGTCTGTCCGTCCGTCCTGGAAGAGGGATCCCTCCTCAGTTGCTCTTCCTGAGGTTCCTACCATTTTTTCCCTGTTAAAGGGATTTTTTGGGGAGTTTGTCCTTATCCGCTGCAAGGGTCCAAAGGACAGAGGGATGTCGTATGCTTAATTGTGACTTTTGATATTGGGCTTTATAAATAAAACTGAAAAATTCAACATAAATAATGTCTTACCCTGTATTTGTGGATACTTGGCCATAAGCAGAAGTGCCCATCTGAGAGTAGTCGCTGTCGTTTCTGTGCCAGCAGCAAACAGCTGTATTACTGTCGCCATAAGATTTTGATTGTTGAAGTGGCTGTTTATAATCCCAGATTCCTGCAGGTAAAATGTATCAGTACAGTTATTAAGATAAAACACTGACATATTACCTACATGCCATTTCAGCTGCAGGTATAAGGACAGGCCTTTTAAATGAGTTCATTTAAAAGCAATCGCAATGAGGCCTTTAAAAAAAAGCTGTCTGATAATTAAATTTTAAACACTGTGTGCACTACAAAGTCCAAGAGGGACTCAAACATAGAACAAATCATTAAAGAATTAATTTACATATTTTGTTGTAAGAAACCATGATATCAGTGTAATAAATGACGCATTTCCCTACCTCCAGAATTTGCATTCGGGCCAGAAAGGCGTCCGAAAAGCCTCTGCACATCTGTGGAATGAGGATCTCTTTCAAACGACTAAATAGCTCTAAGTTAATTTTTTTAGTGAAGGCGGTGATCTGTTGGATTTCCCTTCTGTTACTGGCCCATTTGAAGATCCACGGGAACAGGTTGTACATCTTGTAAAAAAAAAAAAAAAAAAAATAAATCAATCAGTAACTTCACAAAACTTCAACTTTAACTTCACAATAATAGTGAATGACACAGGCTACCTGTATCGATGGGGAGCCCAAAAGTTGAATTCTTTTGTTTGTTCGAGCTACCATGGATGTAAACATTGGGTCATCGTATTCAAATCTGCTGCCATAAACAATGGAGCAGATGATATTAGAGAATGCACAGTTTATCGATGGGGTCGTATCGATAGCTTCTCCTGAAACAAGGGAAAACAAAACAAATCAAAAGTACAGCAGATTTTCTCTTTTTGTTTTGTTTTTTAATTCAGCATCCGTGAGACTGAATAAAAACGAGATATTTACCTTTAAATTTCTTAAACACTTCAATGAGGTAGCCAGTTTCCTCGATGATTTTGTCCTCACATGCACTCTTGCCCATCCCAAAGTCTCTGAGGTTAGTTAAGGCAAAGCGCCTCATCTCTTTCCACAATTCACCGTTTGACTGTATGACCCCTGAGATTTAACATATTTTTAAATTAACTGGGAATGAGTGAAGAAAAGAAACCTTCGCTCAGAGTGAAACAGAACACTGAGATTATTTGCTAAACTTTCTTTTTTCCTTTCTTACCGTGACCACGGTAAGTTTCAAGCTGTATTAACGATTGATCTCTTTCACCAAACTCATCAGCGTAGTCCACAAGTGCCTCCTTCACTGTATTGTATCCTGCCAGGACCACCACTTTCTTTGGTCCAAAATAGATGGTGAACACTGATCCATAGTTCTTGGAAAGCTAAAAACAGCAGCATGATGTCATGACTTTTTAGTTTTATAAAACAAACACAAAAGAAGGCAGACAATCTGAAAAATGACAGAAACACTGCAGCACACACAATAAATGAGCCTGAAAGAAAATGTTAGTGCTGTCATTGTAAGCGTAGTAAAACCAGTTTCATTAAGAATATTCCAACATGCTCCTGATTGGTATTGCTTGAACGGAAAGCATTCCTTTTGACGTCAGTGCAACAAACACATCTTAGCCTATGACTTAACAGAAACTTTCTTCCACTTTTTTTATTCTCTTCATTTCTTACCTTCAGAAGTGCATTGTAGAGTCTCTTGAGGTCCAGTTGCAACAGATTACCAAGCAGCGGAAGAGGTTTTGGTCCTGGAGGTTCCTTCCTGTCCTCTTTGGAGCTGAAGCTAGAGGAGGAAAAGAAATAGACAAGGAGCAGGAGCACCAGAGCCCCAGACAAGGAGACAGAGCTGGAAGACTGGAAAAATACATCTAATATCTCCATGACTTAAACAATGTATCCTTTAGTTGCTATAGGCCTACTGCACTGTCAGCATCACTTTCCATCCAGAGTCTTTAGCTTTGTGAGTGTTTGTGGCTCCAAGTGGAGAATATGTACAGCCCAAGGGGAGGGGACACCCTCAAAACCTCCCACAAATTACTGTTTGGTATTTACAGATCAGTGTTATTTATTATACAGCAGTTACTGATTTACAGTAGTTTTATATCATGTTTTGCATAACATCTAATTATTATATGTGTGTGTGGTTCTAATGTTTAACCGTTGATAATGTTTTGCCTCTTTATGTTGCAGTAAGGGACCTCTGGTAGATCTGTAACACAGGAGTTAATACCAGCAAGTGTTAGAAAACTCATCCACAGTTTTTACATTTGAGCATGTATTCTGTTCACATGGACAATTCAAAGGATGAAATAATCTTCCAGAAAGCACTCTGCTCAGATTTTAAATGTGGTATTTAATGGATGCAGTTGTTGCACGGCTCGGACAGGGCTTGTCGGAGTCTCTGTTACTTGTTTTTCATGGCAGATCCTGGAGCTAAGGAATCTAACAACAGTTTAAGGAGGCAAACTATTGATGGAGAGGGGGTCATCCAAAAAAGAAGTCTGTGTGTGTTATGAAAGGGAATCATTAAACGGAGGCACAGACATAGGTTTGGCATAAAAAATGGACAAATGATTGATTTAGAGTCATGGTTCATGTATAAGCTGTTCACCATTAATGTGTTTCAGTTTGATTATCGACGCTAGGATTTTCTATTTTGAGTTTGCAGGTTCTCTCTGTGCTTGTGTTCCAATGCTCATCTCCTAGTTGTGTGTTTTTACAACTACGGGCACCTCACAGTTGCATGGCTCCACAAACAAACCAGTCACGTTGCTGTTACAGTGTACACCCCTTTCTGTTCAGACTCATATGTAGCCACGATAATTGACAATGCTTTAAATATGGATGCATCTGCAAAGGAGCACCATATTTAAAAACATGGCTGCTTCACACACATCTTTTCTTTTTTTTAAAGATATTTTTAGGGCATTTTTGCCTTTAATTGATAGGGTAGTGAAGTGTGAAAGGGGGAGAGAAAGAGGGAGAGACATGCAGCACTAAGCCACCGACGCCCCTTCACACACATCTTTAACCCAGCAACACCCAGGATTAGTGTCACAAATTCAGTATCCAATCAAATGTCACCCCTTCTGTCCCTGAGCTACGACATTGAGTAATGGCAGAAAAGTGTTTTTGCAGGACATTATCATGTCACAATGATCTGACCTTTGACCTTTCTGATATAAAATGTCATTGCTTCATCATTTCATTCTATTGGACATTTGTGTGACATTTTGTGATAATTAGCGTATGAATTCCTCAGTTATGGACTAATACATGTTTTCGTGAGGTCACAGTGACCTTTGACTTTGACCACCAGAATCCGTTTCATCCTTGAATCCAAGTGGAAGTTTGTGCCAAATTTGAAGAAATGCCTTCAAGGTGCTTTTGAGATATCATCTTGACAAGACTGAGACTGATGGACGGATGGATAGAAGGATGGACAACCCAAGAATATGATGCCTCTGACCGTGGCTGTCGCTGAGCGTGGATACATGACTAGAGACCAGATGGACTTGTCAAAAAGGGAGTCTAAAAGAGAGTCTGACAATAAACAATGTAAAACATGCACCAATATCAGCAAAGCATTTCAGAGTTGGAGAAAATGTTGCTAATAGTTGTGCCTTCTGCTAAATGGAGCTGTAGAGTCTTTCAATAATAAACGTTACATTTAATGTCTCTGAGGGGTGAAAAGGGAGAACTTTTCAGATGCATGTTCACCAATTCATCCGGTTTCTTTGAGTGCAATGACCCATTTATTTTCAATTGTGCTCAACTACACAAATAGAACATATGTTAATCTCCACAGTTTCTGAGTCAACCACAGGTTAGTGTCCATTCAATAGTTCTGTGTCCAAGTTTCCAGCCATCAGTTCCAGTTTCCACGCAACAAACTCTTCATGCTGTTAACACGGTCAAAAACCGGTTTGCTTACCCTGTCACACACCTACTGCTCATCACCTGCGCCTTGCCTATATTACCTGCATTTTCCTGCACTAGTGCGCCACCCTGTGTACAAACAACAAAACTGCATGTATTTACACAAAGTCACCATTATTTGTGTATTTTTTTTATTGTAAACCCTTGTAGATAATAAACTTTACTGGATCAAATGTATAACTTACCCCAGTGATTCAAATACATTAAGGGCAAAGGTCATCATGGGTTTTATAGAGGGTTTAAGCTTTGTTATCTGTCACCTTTCATCCAGCATTATCTCTGATGCTCCTATCTTCAAAAAAAACAACAAGTAAATAAGTTGTATGTATTCTGAAATTAAAACTGTCTCCATCTACTTTACTAAAGACATTTTTACACACACTTTTGAAAAGTTTGTCAAGGAAAGGTTACTCATGGCTTGTCCTGTCAGTTAGTGAGCTCTTCAGTGAGCTCTTCATCTTCTTCACCAGCCTCCAGCAGTCACCTTTCACGCAGGGCTAAAACACCAAACTTCAAACCAAATTGGGGTTTTAATATCAGAAAATTTAGATCCAAACCAGAGCTGAAAAAACATCAGATATTGAACCAAACTATAGCTGTAAATTTGATTAAATCTGACCAGATCAATACTAAAACATCAGTAACTGTTAGATTTTGAATCTTAATTATTCACAACAAAGCTTTTATCCAAGAAATTGTAGGTTATAACTGAGTTGATCTTAAAACACATCTCACAAAATAACTCTGGGTGCATGGAATATCCATGCAAATAATGTCATATTTGGAATATTAGTGGAATATTAGTGTTCATGTAAACATAATCAGTGTTGAGCATCATCACTTGCAGCGGCAGAGGAAACCACGCAAGTTTAATTTCAAGGAAAGAATCCCTACATTTAGTGTTGCATCTGTGCTTTTTGTCAGGTGTTTCTGTTGGTTTCATCAAACTGTGACCTTCAGCACACAGTCCAGTCAGTTAGCAGTCGAGTGTGAAATAGTTGGACACATCAAAGTCTGTGGCTATAGTATGATGGGTCAGGATGACAGGAAGTTTTCTGCACCAAATAATGGACTTCAGTTATCTCAGGGTCTTGTTCATAAGTGAGGTTCAGCTGGAGCTTCTGTCTGACACATGGCTCAGTGTGACATTTTAAACTTTATTGTGGATGTTTACTGTGTAGATATTGAGGATTATTCAAACAATACAAAATATTACATCAGCAGTCTGCACCACAAGTAACAAAATAGCTTTTTCAAAGCTTTTGCTCTGTCCATTGCTGAGACACAAGCCTTCCTGATTTGCTTTTGTATAACACTGTGCTCTACAAATCAGTATGAAACCTGAAATTAAAGCAGCAGTTTAACATACATATTCTTGATTTCATCAGTGGTATTGAACATATTCACCATGTTAAATCGCATTGACCTCAACACTTGTTCACTCAAAGTCAAAAGTGTTTATAATTGTTCTAAAAGGCTACTTTTGAAAAGCCCGCCATCGTAGTGTTGACATGATACCTTAAAGGAGAAGTCTGGTATTTTGCACTTTGAGCCCCATTTCTGGATTGTTTATGATGAAATAGAGTGACTAAGACCAAAATAGTGACGATTGCTCATTTTTGGAGAATTTGGCTTTCCCCTGCCTGGCTTCACAGTGCTGCCTATGGCCATGTGTGAACCTGTCCTAAAACCACCCTAAACGTTCGTTTTCAAAGCCATGAAACTCACCAAGTGTTCAGTGGTGTCCGTTGATGTTCTGACATAAAAATTGTAGCAAACTGTGGTTTCCGTGATGATTTATTTGACATTTTGTCTAATCCATTGATTTTCTATAGAAGCCTCATTGTCCGTTGGTAGTAATCCGCCACCGGAAACGGAAAGGGGGTTCCTTATGACAAGGTTGTAGGCATTGTAGTCTTTTAGCTCAGTGAAAGTGCCGGCTCGACAGTGTTGTGCGTGCTCCTGGAAGAAGAACGAAAAAGTTTTGTTCAGTTTAAACAACTGCACAATGGACTACTCGCTTGTAAACAACCTTCGAAGTACAATGCCTTTGAACACAACGCCAACCTTCTTCTTCTGCTTCTTCTCTGTGTCCCATTACATTGCAATGGTTTCCTGCCAGTTGGCGACACCCACGTAAAGGAGCATTATCGCCACCAAGTGGGCTGGAGTGTATAACGCTTCAGGGTCAAACGAACAATCAAGTGGAAGTTTACACACGGGTGTTAGGCAGCTGAAAAAATAGTTCCACAATTGAGAGGAATAGCAAAAACACGGATGGAAACCACAGTTTGCTACAATTTTTATGTCAGAACATCAACGAACACCACTGACCACTCGGTGAGTTTCATGGCTTTGAAAACGAACGTTTAGGGTGGTGTTAGGACAGGTTCACACATGGCAATAAGCCAGGCAGGGAAAAGCCAAATTCTCTGAAAATGAGCAATCGTCACTATTTTGGTCTTAGCCACTCTATTTCATCATAAATCAAAAAACAGCTGTGACTCTTCTGTACCTGCCAACATTAGACTGTGAAAAAAGGGAGATTTTCTGGGTTATTATCAAATGGCCTGCCCCCATATAACCCTACACTACAGATGAACATAATAAATACAAGGATGTAAAAGTAAAATGACTTTTTATCAGTATTAAATCTGTAGTTAACAGTAAGAAGGAGGAAATTATGAAATTATGGATTCTCTGGTGCATCAGTAAAGTATGTAGTGTATGTGCATCCGAAGGGTCCGTGTTACATCTGGTGTATGAAATGTTTGTATCGTCATGCTGCATTTTCATAAACACACTCAGGCATCTTCTCACCATCACCACGATAGACTAGCTTACAATTACAAAGTGGAATAGCAATGCGGTATTAATTCATCTCAGAAATTAACGCTCTGCCGAGACAGAGAGAGATCTGCTCCAGACTAGGGTGCCAGGTAATGATACAAATAATCGATAACTGTAGCATCTCAGTATTAAGTTTAACAACTAAGTCAAGCCTTTTAAAAGCTTGGTGTTGGATGTAAGCCGCGGCTGCTAATTAGCTTGTGCTAACACTCTGAAGATGGTCCTCAAGTGCTGTGTCTAACCTGTGTCGAGTGGTCGCATCAGACCCTCCGCGCAGTCCTGTTGTTTTCCTCTGTAAATGCTGTCCACACTGCAACATGTTTTACCCTCTCGACTGCATGCTGTTGTTGTTCCCTGTGTTTACTGGCAGCTCGCAAGCCAAGTTTAAAGGTACATGTACTGCCGCCTACTGTGTCAGACAGGGTGTGTAGATGCTGCCCTTGTTAAATCAATGAAAGCAGTCTGGCTTTGCATTATCAGTGCTATTTATCAGCTATTATGTTCATTATGGTAATAATGTACAATTATAAAAATGTCCCATTATTGGCCGATAATTTATCGGCCTGATATATATATCATGCATCCCTAGGCTCTGCCCACTATTTGAGAATTTACAGACATACAGCACATAGTTTATGACGTGTAGGGTAGCGGGTCAAGCTCCCAGGTGGATTAAGACCCAGTTCATCTTCTGAAACTCCAGGAGGAGGAGTGAAACGAAAGTGCTGCAGGAGGGTGACGAAGAGGATGAAGAGCTCCATCCTGGCCAGACTCTCTCCGGGACAAACTCTGCGACCTGCAGGAGAGACCGAAGGAAGAGCTTCAGGTCAACTGCCAGTAAACTAATGATAAACAGGAAGTGATATCTCATGTCACAAACCTGCAGAAAAAGGCAAGAAGGCTTCTCGCTTGACAAACTTCCCATCTTTGTCCAGGAAGTGAGCGGGATAAAAGCTGTGTGGGTTCTCCCACTCACTCTCATCATAAAGGACAGATGCCAAGAGAGGATACACCGTGGTCCCCTGTGGGTAACAGAGAAATGATAGGTGATAATATTCCATACCTGCCAACATTGTGAAAAGAGGGAGATTTTCTGGGGTATCTACAAATGGCCCACCATCAACGCCCCCGCCCCCAAATAACCCTACACCACAGATGAGTGGAAATACGAGGATGCAAAAGTAAGGGGAAAAAAACGAACAAACAAAAGTAGATAAAAACGTTTAAACTAGGCTACATGTGTACAACACAACAATTTGTAGGGAGAGAGAAAGAGAGCGTGTGAGAGATCATGAAGCTCAATGTCACTATTTACTTCTCTGGTTTATCAGTGGAGTGTGTGCACTAAGGCCCTGATCACACAAAAAGCATTTTGCAGGTTGCAAAACACGAGGCGCGCCGCTCTGCCTTTTTTCTTTAATTGAATGCCATTAGTGAAAAAAAAAGCTTGCTGCACCTTTTTAATGTTGCCAGGCAACCACGGACTCAGCTCCGTATTCTAACCTTCCCATGTAATCAATCTACCGTCTAGTTATTTGACAGTAATTAATATCTCATTCCTAAAATGTTCTGGCAGAGGGTTGAGGGTGAGAGGCTGTCAGCAAATAGTTTTTTTGGGCACAGGGAAACAAAGATCTGTGTGGGTGCATGAGACCCTAATAAAGAGGCTGGGTCATGGGGAGTACCACCAGCTGGTCCAGGAGCTTCGCCTTGATAATGGCTGTTTCCAGGCATATTTTAGGAGAACGTGGGGGCGGTATGACAACCTGCTGGCTATCGTCAGGCCGTATAGCTCTGGGTATCAAGCAACCACTACCACCAGTTTTTCCTCTGTTGTTTACCAACTATAAACTTGTTGTTGTGACTGTTAAGGGTTAAAAAATCAGACATAAGTATTCAGAGAGTGTAAAGGGTTAAAATGTGTTGAAGGATTTTTTTAAAAAATGACATAAGTTAAATGTGTTTAAAAAGTTATTGGGACTAAAGCACAGTTCATATGAGGCTATGGCACAGTTCATGGCCAAAATAATAAGTTCAATGTGTTTAAAAACAGACACCCCTTTAAATCATTATTTATTGTGTCTACAATAGTAATGTACTGCATTTTCATTATACTTTACTTCTTTACTGTGTTGGTGTAATACCTAAACAGGTCACTAGATGGTGCAGTCGAGCTGAACGCAAGCCTAAGTTTTGTGCATCTTTGTTTATACATACAGGTGGGTTAATATTCCTCAGTGGCACAAACATGTGCCCCAGTATAAGGGATAAGAGTGTTGTGAAGATTCGGCAATAATGCGCAGTGTGTAGAGTTGAGTGGTTTTGCGGTAACTTGTTGAAATAGAGATATTTACACGATCATGCTAGGCTAGCAGCCCTGTTGCTAATGGGTAAGGTAATGTACACAGCACAAAGAAATGCTAATGAGACACGCACAAGGGGTTTGTTTTGTTACTAATGTAAAGACACATAAAGTGCAACATAATTAACTAATAATAACTATTTTCCTGTAGGTGTGTGTTGCTGACTTTAAAGGACCCTTAAGTCATATTGTATATTTTGTTAAGTATTTCCTATGTTAAGGATGCATAATAATTCCTGCAGCCGGGCTGAACGCAAGCTAAAGATTTGAACCTCTTTGTTTATACATACAGAAATACAGGCATCATGTTTGCTACTGGCCTAGGTTCCCCTAGGCCTGAGGCCAGCAACATGACCACTACAGAAAATCCACCGCCTCTCAAATCATCTCTTTGGACAATGGAAAAAAAAAGATGATGAAAAAGGAGCTGACACGGGGCGTTTTTCCGCTCTGAGTTCAAGTTTTTTCAAGTCGAATTCAGAGCACTTTGGCAAAAACACCAGGCGCCTAGAGCACAGAAATGTTAAGCGCGTCGCAATGCAAAAACGAAGTGCAAAGATGTGTCATTCTCATTCAAATCTATTACAAAAAGCTGCCTCCAGCTGCTAAAATGGTTTCTGTGTGATCAGGGCCTAACACTGACAAACAGAGAGACAGGTGATTGAAGAGAAGTATAGAGGACATGTTATGTGTTTTGTTCAATTGCACCTTCTTAATGAAATAACCCTGAAAGGTTACATCTTTGGTAGCTTTGTGAGGAAGTCCCATGGGTGCAATGTTGGCCAGTCTCTGTATCTCATGGATGACAGCGTTGGTGAAGTGCAGGTTCTTCCTGTCTTCGACCTGCACTTGACGACTTCCTATCACCCCGCTCAGCTCCTCCTGGACCTGGTCTGGAAGAAGAAAAGCTTTTGCTTGTCTGAAGACAATTTTCTCACATAGTGCAGCTTGGACTGTAGCTTGTTTTTCTGTAAAAGTTGTGGATATCTTTAACTCCTTACCTTGTATTTTTGGATACTTGGCCATGAGCATAAGTGCCCATCTCACTGTAGTTGCTGTTGTGTCAGTGCCACCGCCAAACAGATTCAGAACTGTTACCATGAGGTTTTCATTGTGGAACTGACTGTTGGTAATCCCAGATTCCTGCAGGTAAATCAGATCATTTATTCAAACAAATCTTATTCTTAAATTAGATCTTTTTCAATTCATACAATTGTTTTGTTTGAACCCTTTCATGCATAGTGGTCACTACAGGGGACAGTTATTTAAAAGCCACTTTCTTGTATATGCATATGTTTTGATGCTATAGTTGCATTAAAGCCACTACCCTAGACCCTAGTGCATCTTCCCATACCCTGCCACCCACTGGCCAGGTTTTGTAAGAGCAACACAAATCTCTGAAAACCAAGATGGCTAACAGAACGCAAGAAATCAGGAATTTATCGCCAGTCCTGCTATAATATACCCTTGCAGGTAAATAAAATCTGTGAAGATCAAGTAGCATCTAAGAAGCAATACGGTTGTTAAAACTTCTAAATATTGATTTTATGTTGGGAAGAAATTACAATGAATCATCGGTCCACTAAACTGGACATCATGCAGCACTGGCTATATTTTCACTACAATTACTACCATTACTGCAGCCTTGTACTTCATCTGCAGTGACTTTTTGGGCTGTAAATAAATTAATTTCTGTTATCAGAATGTTACTTGCATTTTTTTTTGACAAAAACAAAATTTGGACAAGATTTTGTTATTTTAGTAGAAAACGTTAATTGAAAAAAAAAATACACATAGTTTAACAGAGGGGGAGGTGTGTGGGGGGCTGAGGAGTCAAAAGCAACACTTTTGCACATGCATTGAATAGTATGAGAGTATGTTAAAATGTGTGAGCACTCTAGTTTAACAGCTTTAATATATAGATAGATAGATAGATAGATAGATTTCATAGTTTCACATAGCACATTAATTTTTCTCATTGGTTTGTACTTTTTCAGTTGAAAACTTAAACATGTGTCGTCCACCTGAATGGACATGTAAAAAACTCCTTGAAAAATGCATGTGCAAAAAATTGAACGTTTTGTTTTTCATGACTAAAGGGGAATAAAAACACTTCATGACTGAAGTAGTCATAATTCATGCGTGAAATTTGATCTTAAAATATAAAAAAAAATAAAGTTGGCCATTAGTCGAAAACCAGTGCTCGACTTTGGATTTCCATTGCCAATAAATTAAAGGGGAAAAAAGCAAAGTATTTTTACTTTATACTTATTTTTTGCTTGAATCGTTAGAACTTACTCAGCGCATCTGCCAGAGCAAATGAAGCACAAGCAAACAGATTCTGGTCCCAGGCAAATATGTAATGGCAACTGCCAAAAAAATCTTTTTAATGATTCACTTAACTAAGAGACAAGGAGAAAACAAGGGATGTCTCTTTGATCGTCTATACTGTGTTTTAACGCAGCTGAATTTACAATATTATACATTACTATATAATGACAAAAATTCTGTCTGTGTGTCTGTTCCACGTTTTCCTCCTCACTGACTTGGTCAATCCTTGTGAAATTTGGCACAGTGGTAGAGGGTCATGGGAGGATGCGAATGAAGCAATATTACATCAATTGGCCAAAGGGGGGCGCTATAGCAACCGATTGAAATTGCAAACTTTGAATGGGCATATCTCATGCCCCGTATGTCGTAGAGACATGAAACTTTGCACACAGATGCCTCTCCTCATGAGGAACAAATTTGCCTCAATAACCCATAACTTCTGGTATATATATTTTCCGCCATTTTGAATTTTTTGAAAAACACTTAAAATCGATCTCTTCCTAGGAAGTTTGACCGATCTGCATGAAACTCGGTGAACATAATGACCACACATAATCTGAGGGGACCCCTCCATTATTGACCCCATCAAACAAAATGGGGGCGCTAGAGAGCTAATTTCTTATCTAGGACTAACCGCCATATCGATTTTTATAAACTTGGTAGATATGTAGAACAGGACGCCTCAAGGTGACTGGAGAAATTTAACTCTAATTGGCAACTGGGTGGCGTTATAACAACAGAGAAATGCTTAAAAATGGCTAAAATGCGACCGATCGCGGTGGCTCCCCCTGTGGCCCAATGTTATTTTTGTTTTTCTAATTTTTGGTATGACTAAGTCATGGTATGGTATGCTGCTGCAACAAGGGCTAGCTGCACCTTTCCCATGTGAACTACCAGTGCGCCCCACTTTTAAGTCAGTACAACATATAAACACTTTAACTATCTGCCTTTCAACGTGCTACCTCAACTACTAATGTACAGTTTTAGCCCACTAACTATCCCACTATTGGCAATGTTACTACTGTACTTTCAATAAAGCAATCATACTATCAAATTCACAAACACTCTGTCTGAATACATTGCTCTTCTTAATGGGTTCAGTTGACTATTTAATCTGCAAATTCCTATGACCTGTATCCCAAACACACACCATGTGAAACTGTGTGTGAGCAACTGTGCACTCAATGGGTATGGACTAGTACATAGATATTATTGTTATTACTGTAATGTCTGTGTTGTCAGACAGTATGGAATTTGATTGAAGCTCACATATGTGTGACACGACGGGGAAGGAGTGGAGTGATGGCTGAGAAGCTAGCCAAGCTCATCTGGGTTTCAGGTAAGGCCCGCATTTTTTCTTGTGATGACAAATAAGGTATTTAGTGTATATTCATGCTTGTAAACTGTTATAACTTTTACTTACAGATGTGGTTGCTGAAGAATGCGACACACTTGAATGCTGTGTATATTCAGTGCAACATTAACACAGATTCCCACTATCCCTCAGCTTCATAAACTAAAATATCAATTCTGATAGATATGTTTTCCAACCTTTAGATTTTGCTTTCGGACCAGAAAGGCATCCACCAAGCCTCTGCACATCTGTGGATTGAGGGTCTTTTTCAAACTACTGAATATTTCTAAGTTCTGTTTTCTGTTAAATACATTCATTTGGTGGAATTCCTTCCTGTTAGCAATCCATTTGAAGAACCACGGGAACACATTGTACACCTGTTAAAGGAGATATTTGTATTATTATTATAATACAAATTATATTATTATTATTATTAGTATTATAGTAAACACAGATTTTATTAGGCCAGAGAAACAATTTCTTCATTTCAAAGGCAAAAGCCTTTGTGTAATTTATTTTATATTTCAGTCACAACGCTGAAGGNTATTATTATAATACAAATTATATTATTATTATTATTATTATCACATTTAACACAGATTTTATTAGGCCAGAGAAACAATTTCTTCATTTCAAAGGCAAAAGCCTTTGTGTAATTTATTTTATATTTCAGTCACAACGCTGAAGGTAGAGGTTTCACAAAAATATGATACCTGTATTGAAGGGGAGCCTGCGAGTTTAACCCGTGTGCTCATGCATTCCAACATGTATGTAAACTGTGGATCGTCATATTCAAATCTGTTGCCATAGACCATGGAGCATATAATATTGGAGACTGCATAATGTATTGGTTGGGTCATATCGAGAGCTTCTCCTTCAACATGGGAAAAAAGAAAATGGAAATTATTAGTTTATATTTTACAGAAAACTTTGCTCACACATTGATTATGTTATAATAAGACATTTACCTTTGAATTTCTTAAGCACTTCAATGAGTCGGTGACACTCCTCAATGATTTTGTCCTCACACACCTTCTTGCCCATCCCAAAGTCTTTCAGGTTCATCATAACAAAGCGCCTCATCTCTTTCCATATTTCACCATTGGACCATGTAATACCTGAGATGAAATGGTTCAACAAAATATGTTAAATACACAGCTGAGGGTTGAAGGCTGAACAGAATAAGAAAAGGGGAAAATATCTTTCCTTACCATATCCTTGGCTAAATTCAATCATAATTTGCATTGGATCTCTGTCTCCAAACTCTTCAGCAAAGTTAACAAGTGCCTCTTTCACCGTCTTGTATCCTGCCAGGACCACCACTTTCTTTGGTCCCATATAGACAGTGAACAATGAACCATATTTCTTTGAGAGCTAACAAAAGCAGAAGACTGTAATTACATTTTCATTTCATACACACACAGGAGAAAGTAGTGTAGTGTTGCTGGACCACACTGGAATGACGCTCTGCCACCGTTTTTCTCCAAGTGAGGAAATAGAATATTGACATTTCATGCTTTGTCTGTGATTTTGGCGTCAACAAACCTGAGATTTTCACTTGGGAGGCCACAGTTCACTTCCAGTAGAGCCAAACCATGATGTTTTTTGTAAACCGAACTGTTGGGCTGGCCTTGGTCAGTTCCAAGATAGCAAACCCGGCTTTATTTTTTTCCCCTGTAACTATGTCTCTCTACAGGCAAGTGGCTTGTCACTTTCACCCCCTTTTGGCAAGGTGAAGCCATTTTTGTTAAATGTAGTTCACTTCTAAGTGTCAAAGTCTTTTCATTCATTTATTTGTCGCTGGATTCAGTCATTTCTGGGCTTAGTGCCATGCTGGGCTGCCTCATTCGAGTGGTCAGGGACTAGGAACAAACAGGCACCAGCAGGTCCAAGCATGAGGACAAGAGCATGACCTCAATGGGCTCTAGTTTTGCAGACTGGGCGAGGCGGGGGCGCAGCGCACCTGCGCTTCGCCAACTGGGTGTGGCCAGGCGGATTTTGTAAGTTTGGCACACCGTGCGTGCTGGCGCAGCTACTCGTCTTTCCCACCTCTGTCCCTCCTACCTGCGCAAGTCGGAAAGATGGAGGAGAGAAGCCGTGGAGTGGGTTTTACACAGCCCATTCACATCACACCAATCAAATGAGCCCCACTCTTCGCCCTTAAATGTGCCGCGTGATGGCGTAATGAGAGTTTACTCAATTCGCCATGGCAGAAGAGAGCAGCAGCGTCAGACAGCCAAACTTCTCCCAGGAGGAAACTGATGTTTTGGTCCGGGAGGTCCAACCTCGCAGTGTCCGAATATACGGAACTGCGAGCAGACCTCCACGGGCTGATGATGCAAAGGTAGCCTGGGAGGAGGTCACCACAATTGTAAATCAATGTTGCGCGCTCTCTCTTTTTCTCTCGCAGTCTCACTCTGTTTCTTTTCTTTTGACTTTTCTAAGATGACAGATGATGAATATATACTCCCTATCTGATGCTGTGGCTGTTTGTGGTTGGCTGAGAGGGATGTGAACTCATTAGTTTGCAGCTGTGTTAATCAAATCAAGTTGGGTTTCCATTACGTGTGCCAAACGTGCCAAACGGTGCCAATCCCCTTTGATCTGACATCAGATGTGATGGGACAGTCAGTATAGAGATACATTTATGTGCTGATTGCAGATAGTTGCATTGAATAGTGGTTTTGTGGCTATTTATTGCATCGTTAATGTGCCTGATATTCTGGAAACGTGCCTGTGAGGTTTTGGTGACGTGCGCACTGTCCGCCGGTCAGCCAAACTTCGGCTTACACTGGCTGCACTCTGCCTGTGCTGACAGTAGACCTGGTTTCAGCTGGCGAGCTTTTAGCGCACCTTCGGCGAAGCCTTTTGGCACAAAATTGTCACTGCGCCAAGCTGGATCTGTCGACACCTCCCCCTGCTGCGCCGCCACACCCATCTCAGCGCACCTCGGTCTGCCAAACTACCAAACTGAGCACGCCTCGGGTTGCGCTGCTCGAAACTAGCTCTGCGCGGGGTTCGCCACCCTGTGCCACCCTGCGCCGCGCCGGGAAACTAGAGCTCATTATCTCAGCAGTACCATGAGTGGCATGAGCCTCAAGAAAGTTTTGAGCGGATTCAGACCTCGGCTGGAAGCGTCCAGACATGTGACAGCTCGAAGAGCCACAGCCAGCATCAGTTCGGAGTCAGGAGGCAAAATGCAGAAGAGAAACACTGCTCTCAGTAGACCACACAGACAAAATCTGAATCAATCATCACTCGTGCAACATCTGTATATACCAACTGTGCAAAGTCTACCCTTGATACATGTAATAAAGTGAATTTAGCCATTCAGCCTGTTCATTATATTTTGCTTTTAATTTTTACCATTTACAATCATCCCTCAGGTGCAATATAAGTGTATGGTAAACATTCACCAGCCAGTTTACTTATTATACTGCTCTGTGTTTTTACTGTTTACTTATTATGTTGTTGGTTTTTTTACTGATTCTTCTTGTTTGCACTATCCCCTTTTTCTGCTGTAATGATGCACATTTCCCTGCTGTGGGACTAATGATTATCTAAACCCCGAGAAAAGAACATCATGGTTTGGCTTAAAATAAGGAAAGTTCTTACTAACATAATGTCACATGTGACATAATTCATGTGACATATGTTACTAGTGTAGCATGCTACACATATAAGCACACTATGCTGTCATAAAAATAACTCTACTGACTTTTGGTGTCACACAGGAAAGCGAAAGTGAGCCCCCTGGTGAAAGTCAAGTGTTTGTTTAGTCCCTCCTGCCCACCCTATACGGACTTTCATGCCCTTTACAATACAGTAGTTTTCACTACTAAACCATGCGCGTAGCCAAAATTTAAGCATTACTGAAAAAAAGATGAGAGAGCTGCTTACCACCATCTCACCTTCATTAAAGTGTTGTGGGGTGTCTTTAAGTCAAACTGCAGCAGGTTGCCGAGTAGGGGAAGTGCTTTTGGTCCCGGTGGTTCCATCCTGTCTTGCTGAAACCTGAAGCTGGAGGTGGAGATGAAATAGATGAGGAGCAAGACCACAAGAGACCCCAACAGAGAGACAGAGCTGGTGGACTGGAGAAACAGATCTAAAATCTCCATGACTTCAAAAAAAAAAAAGTATTCCAAAGTTGCTACTACACTGACAAAATAAGTTTCCTTCCAGAGCCTTTAGCTTTGTGACTGTTTGGGTACAGACACCTTGTGTTTTTCAAGTGGTGAACTGGCACAGCCTAAAAGGAGGGGAAAAAAGTCAGAATGACCCAGTAGGTCAGTGTATCTACAATTTGTCAGTTACAGATTAACAGTAGAACTGGCAGGCTTTTCAGGTCAGCAACAGCGAAATGGAGCTATAAAACTAAAGAAAGTGACTGAATATCCCAATAATAGAGAAAATGTGTCCTTACCAGTCTACTGAAAAAATAAGTTTCCGTCCTGCTGCCGTTGGTTCTGTGAGTGTTTGGCTAAGGAGAGCTCCCTTTGTAGCATGTACATACCATCCAACCTCAGATGTATCCTTTGCTCAGAAGTTTTAAACCCTTGTTAATGATAAACTTGTGATACCTCACAGTTCAGTTCAGCTTTATTAGTCACTTTTTTTCTTTCTTTTTTTTATTAAACACAAAACAACAAAATACAGGGACAAGACACAAACAAGTCTAAAGATATACAACACATAGCACACAGTTTACAAAACCAAGGCATTAAAACAACAAAACATACAGCTTCACAAAAACACACAAAAAACAGAAACCACCATCAATAGGACAAACAACAGCCTAAAGACTTAATGATCAAAGAGAGAACAAAGATAAATTGGCTTCCTGTTGTAGTTTTTAAGGAGATTCGATTTCAAGGGGGAAAATAATAATAATAAATAAATAAATAGCAAAAAAGATAAACAGACAAAATAAACAAAAATAAACAAAGGCCTTCCTTCACCACAATTTCTGTTGTTAAGACCAGCCTTCACACCAAATTTCCCACCCACGTTAAAAAATCACAAACTGTTCTTTGTTTCTATTAATATCTTTTTCTATAGTCCACTGAAATTTCAAAAACATTATGAAACGCTCAATTTTTAACTGTTTTTTTTGTGGCTTTAAATATAAGGCTTTTCCCATCATAGTGGTGATATTATTCAAGTCTTTTCCTTCTATTTCATCCCTTAAATCACCAAACATAATAGTTAGACAGCAGCTGTAGAAGCTTGGGCTATAAACAGAAATCCATTGACCTACTCTAATCCAAAAAAGTGCAACTTCCTTACAATACCAAAATAAATGAAGATCTGACTCCTCTTCCTCTTCACAAAATCTGCATAAGTCACATTGTTGGATGCCCCATTTTTTGAGTCTTTTTTTGCTGGGCTGATAATAATAAATGATTTTTAACTGTATAATTCTAATAGAGATATCAAAAGTGGTTGTATAAATGTTTGTAAAAACTTTTTTCCATGGAATACATAAATCAAAGAGATCCTCCCATTTTGAACATACAGCAACCGGTGCCACTGCAATTTTTTTTTTTTGTACATACAGAAATGATATATTTTTTTATTTATCTTCCTCTTATTTACCCATGTTCTATCCTTGATAGCAGGGCAACATACTAGTTGTTTTGAGCTTAATGATAATTTCCTCTTCCAAGTCTGTGGAATAGCTGCCCAAAGTTGGTTATATGTCAAGGAGTCACAAACATTACCGTATATAGCTGTCAATTCATTGTAAGACATAATTTCACCTTTACTAATTGAAAGGTCATTTACAAATAATAAACCCACTGTAAACATTGATTCAGTAAAAAAAAGGACATATTGTTAATCATAATATTACTGTTGTACCATAACAACTGACTTCGAATTTCATGAGATAATTCTGGTTGATGGTAATGGTGTTGAAGCCAACTAACTATAACTTCCTCCAAGAAACCTGATAGATAAGGAAAAGCTTTTCTCTTCAACAGAGCAAATTGAGAGGCAGTTAACTGAAAGTAAGGATGAAGTTGTTTATGAAAAAGAGGATGAAAGGTTGTTAATAGCTTTGCTGAAAACCATTGGGGATTTGAGTTAAATTTGGGCACAAGGGATGCCTTCAATGCAAAGTTAAGTGCTCTGAGGCTCAATAGATTAAGCCCACCATGGCTGTAATTGTTATATAGGTAACCACGCTTTATTTTGTCTGGCTTGCCGCTCCATAAAAAAACAAAAACCATTCTTTCATATTTTTTAAAAAGATCCTCCTTTGGTGATGGTAANGTAACCACGCTTTATTTTGTCTGGCTTGCCGCTCCATAAAAAAACAAAAACCATTCTTTCATATTTTTTAAAAAGATCCTCCTTTGGTGATGGTAATGCCATAAAGATGTAAACAAACTGAGGGATCACTAAAGAATTTAACACTATTATTTTCCCATAAACAGTCAGACTAGCCATTCTCCAGGTTTTTAATAATCTGTCACTTTTAAGAAGCTTTCTTTCAAAGTTTTCTTTTGTTACATGTTCCATATTTCTAGGCACATGTATCTCTAGGACATCTATAGGACCATCAGACCATTTAACTGGCAGTTCACAACAAAACTCAAAGTTGGAGCCTCTTAAGGACCCTATACGCAGTACTGTACATTTTTCATAATTAGGCTTCAAACCAGAAATACTAGAAAAATCATTTAACTCATCAACTAGTGCATTAAAAGTTGTTATATTTGGTTGTATTTGGAAATTTACATCATCCGCATACATTGAAACTTTTGATTCTAAAGTAAATATTCTCAAATCTTCAATTTTACTATTTGCTCTCACTTTTTGGGCTAAAATTTCTATAGCTAAAATAAATAAGTGCGCCGAAATCGGACAACCCTGTTTCAGTCCTCTGTGTAACTTAATTGTTTCTGAAAAAAATCCGTTATTTAGGACTTTACAGTTAGGATTACTATAAATGACTTTAATCCAGTTAATCCAAGAGGGTCCAAAATTAAAATATTCTAAACATTTATAAATGAAATCCAAACGTACTTTATCAAAAGCTTTCTCAAAATCGACAGAAAAGATCAAGGCAGGAATGTTTTTCTGGTCATAATATTCAATTACTTCAATTACTTGTCTAATATTATCGGTAATAAATCTACCTTGCAGGAATCCACATTGATCTGGGTGTATGATATTTGGTAATACTCTTTTTAGTCTATTTGCAAGGCATTTGACCAATATCTTTGCATCATTACATTGCAAAGTTATTGGCCTCCAATTCTGCAATATAGTTGGATCCTTGTACTGTCCATTTGGATCGTGTTTTAACAACAAGGAAATTAACCCTTGATGTTTTTCGTGCTGTATGACCAGTTGAAAGTATTAAGCAGAGGTATTTTAATGGATTCATAAAAAGTTTGATAAAAATCTACATGGATGCCATCAGCTCCTGGACTTTTTCCCTTTTCAAAAGAGCTTATGGCTTCCTGTAACTGATTTAATGTTAATTAAGTCACATTATTTAACATAATTATTAATTATTAATAATAATTATTAATTATTTCNGTTAATTAAGTCACATTATTTAACATAATTATTAATTATTAATAATAATTATTAATTATTTCTGATAGCCAATTTAACCCCAACATATTTGGTGCCTCCATGTGAAGCCTAAGGTGTTGACCCCAACATATTTGGTGCCACCATGTGAGGTAAATATATGTTAATTCCCAACAGAAGTATTTGTGTTGTTCCATCAAAATTTCTTTTGGTTCCTCAATTATTTTATTTCCTATTATGAGCTTCATTATATTTTTCTTGACCGTGTTTTTATGCTGCATATTTAAATACTTGATCTCTCTCCTTTTTCAACCCATTCTATTCTATTACCCAGGTAAGTTATATTAGCTTTCTCTGCATATAGTCGTTCTAGCTCCTTTGTCTTGTGCTCCAGATTGACCTTTAGTTGGCCTACTTCTAACTCATATTATTATCAATTTGTTGTGTTAATGCTTCTATTTCAGCTATCAATGCTTTTCCTTCTTCAATTGATTTTTCTAGAACTGAACTGTATACAGTGACCCCTTAGCGTGCATTTAAAAGCATCCCCTATAACCAAAGGGTCAGCAGTGCCATTATTTATTTGGAAAAAATCATTTATAAATCCATTTGTTTTTTCTATAAAATCCTTATCTTTCAGCAACTGCTGATTCAGCTTCCAATATCCAGGTCCTCTGTGAAATGTTGTTGTACAGACAGTCAAGGATATAAAATGGTGATCAGACTTAAATCTCTCTTTAATTTCAACTTTCTTAATTAATGGTACCAAAGAAAAAAAGGTTAAAAAATAATCTATTCTGCTTGCCTGATTTTTGGAAGTGAGATAAGGGCAAAGCATAGGCAACAATAATATCATTTCGAGAAAGATTGACGGAAAATAAGCGATGAAGGAAAAACTCAGCAACAAAACAAAAAACATCTAAAGAAAAACACGTACTAAAAATCATAACACAAGGTTCTAATGACAAATATAGCCTAAATACGAAAATAGTTACAAAGATAAACGATCAGAAAAAGAAAAAAAATCCACACATTGACGAGTTGGGCAGCATCTAATAGTATCCAAAGCTTCTTTAACATAAAAAAGAAAAAAAACCAGTCCAAAAAGTCATATCCACCTTATTTTTCACGGAAACACGGAGGCAAAACAGAATGCAGCCAGCTTCCATTTTTTTGTGCCACACTTCGGGTCCAGCACTCTTGCCACTGTGTAAATGGGAATCCCCTTGTCGTTTACCTTGCTGAGTTTAGCTATATATATGTATATATCACATTTTTCACGTCACTATATCACCATTTAGACTAATCTGATGTTTGTAAAGTCTATAAACACAATGACTGAACAAACATTAGTATTTTCTCTGTGTGTAATTAATAACATGGTTATCGTAGATTAGCTGGGGTAACCGTTAGCTGTTAGCTGTTAGCCGTTAGCCGTGTCTGTAATAACTCACTAAACTCACAAAGTGGCCCATGAAAAAAATATTTTCTCCAGCGGATGTCTTAGTTACAACATGATTGAGCGAATTGGAGTAGTTTCATGTCGTATCCGACAACGGGAGGCTTTTAACAGATGACGATCCTGATGTTAGCTTTGCTGCTAGTGTTAACGTTAGCTGTCCCTGTCAGCTGCAGCCACTGATGCTTTCTAGACATCGTGATTTCCCAAAACTGAATAAATACCACACATAGCA